CACACACACACACACACGCACGCACGCACACACACACACACACACGCACACACACATTTATATAATTGCTTTTGCTGTAAGCTGGTCATGAACGCGAGGGAAAAACCAATTCAAACCGCAACTTTACTCTCTATCATCCCAAGGAGTAGCCCACGAAATAGCGTCAACCATGACACAATACCGGCATGTCCCTAAATGATGCTAATTATTATTCATAACCAAATTGAATATTAAACACAGGCATAAGCACCATAATTTAACCGCCAACACAATGATAACAGCTTATAGCGTAGTGCTATCTCTTGCTCCTACATGGCCCATGAGAGCGTCGATAAAACTTTGAGAGAGAAAGAAAGATGCCGGGAGTGGATCGGAGCTGGTATGAGATGCATGTTTGAAGTGTGGGCGTCGATATGTGGGAGCGGGAGGAGGAAGGAGAGGGGTAAGGGGTAGATGGCGCGATGAAGGCGTAGGGATGCGGGCGTCAACAGTAGCAGCAGTAGGGGCAGCAGCAGCAGCAGCAGCAGCAGCAGCAGCAGTAGTAGTAGAGTAGTAGTAGTAGTAGAGTAGTAGTAGTAGTAGTAGTAGTAGAGTATTAGTAGTAGTAGTAGCGGCAGCAGAAGTAGTAGTAGTAGCAGCAGCAGCAGCGTCGTCATTAATTACATAGGTCAGTATGAAATTACACACCGGCCGACGTAAACAACATTTTCTCATTCCGACTAGCGGTCATTAGTTACTCGATACAAAGCCATTCATATACGCCTTCAGGACTCATTAGCAGCGGCCTTTCACTTGCAAATAACTGCCGATGTAATTAAGGTGCGAGTAGAACTTACTCGCTGGAGTCTTGCCTTCCAGAATGAAGCCCGAGACCATCTCGTCCCAGGTCGCATTACGCGAGTCGAGCAAGACCAGTACGAGGTCGAAGCGGCTGAGGAGTGGACTGGCCAGCGCTAGGTTGACGGAGAGCGACTGAAGCCATGTAAAAGAAAGGCGATATAATCGATCAAAATACTATCATCGCAGGTCACGAGTGATTAGTTAATGAATGAATCACATGTTAGCCCGTTGAGTCGAGTCTACAATTTCCAGTAAATGCGTATGTCATATAGGTGAGAAACAGGCCGCGTATTAGTTGACATTGATATTGCCAATATCATGGTCATTTTCCATTGTAAAAATGTTTTGCTCTCTTACGGAAAGCTCTTAAACATACCGGTACACTGAATGTACAAACACCTATTCAAGGCGCAATGATGCGATATATGCAGTGCTACCGTATAGTGAGTGCAGTCAGACAGCTACAGTATTGTAGAGAGCATGTATCAATGTGCATTGTGTACAAACGACAGAGCTGGCCCACCCTTGTTCAATCAACAAATTGTCTTGAGACCTGCGCAAAGAAACTCACTAAATACTAAATATTCTAAATACGTTCAGTCAATAACAATCTCCTTAAATCTTTAAGCTGATCTCTCTCTTTCTCTCTTTCTCTCTTTCTCTCACTCTCTCTCTCTCTTTCTCATATTTCATTAAAACCTCAACCCATTATATTCATTATATAACATTTATCTATCCAGTCTCTATCTCTATTTCAACATAACGCAACACCATCCATCTAGTTCCCAGTAATTTAATCTTTTATAACGTATCATTCGCATTGTTACAAACACACAAATATATATATATATATATATATATATATATATATATATATATATATATATATATATATATATATATATATATGTATATATATATGTAGTTGTATGAATTGTACTTGTATGGATTTGTATGTACTTGAAAAGTATCTACTTGTATCTATGTATTTGTATGGAATGTATTTGTAAGGATGAGTGGAAAAAAAAAGAAAAAAAGAAAAAAAAGGAAAAAAAAACTCACTAAAGAACTACGTGCCAGCCGAACAAATCTAATATCTGTACATGTAGATCGTTCCCTCTGCATCGCTTCCCCTCCTCTCTCCCATCTCTATACAATCATGCAGCCTATCTGTGTCTTTTTATTACTATACCTGTTTAAATGTCATAGTTTCACGCGTGACGAGTAACAATAACCGCGTGTGCGGTACCCATAAGCCTGCCTTTATTGCGCGTTCATCCAAGTCGATGAATACGCGCACAAGCGAGTATGTTGCGACCCGGAGCGCAAATTGAAACGTTGCAAAAAGCCAATTTGAATCTCGCCAACGTGGAAACTGCGCACCAGTTCATAATGCACGGCCGCATGCAATGCGTTGGCGCGAGTTCGCAAATCGTTTTCAATCTCAAACCGTCGGCGAACAACCCTCGCGATGCGCGAGCATGAATTAACCTGCCAGTTACCACCGGAATTAATGCGCGTACACGGACAGTCCGTCGCATCAGCTTGCAAACGATGTGCGCACGACAATCTGCGAGGCGGTCAGACGCAGCAGCATCGGCAGCATTCAGTTTCGCAAGAATCGCGCGGCTAATAATGCAAGCGTGTATGCTCGCACACAGATGCCTGCGCGCCGCAGTCCGCTCTCGCGATCTATTCAGGGGATTATATCGCTATCCCGCATAAGGCGCCCGAATGCGAATATTCAGCCTGTTCTGCTAGCATCTATGACAAATACGACATACGCATATACGCTCTCCTATGACACTATTTGTCATAAGAAGATTCTTCCTATGACAAATATTGGTGTATGTGTTGTGCGCATCATAGGAGTTTAGAAGCGCTATTATGAACGCAAGCAGTGAATTTGAGCTGTAAAGCGGAACGAAGTTGACGAAGCCAATATTTGTCATAGGACGTATCTTCCTATGGCAAATAGTGTCATAGGAGAGCGTATATGCGTATGTCGTATTTGTCATAGATGCAAGCAGAACATGTTGAAATATTCATCGTTGACATTAGACACGCGCGCTGATGCGCGGGACATCACTCCGAGAGTGAATCCGTTTGTAGAGACCCCGCTTCGCAGAATCCGAATCCGGCAATAAAATACGGCGCGCGTGCGTGTCATCGTCGCCGCGCCGCACGATCAATAAATAACTACACATAGATTGAGTGGTGATTAGATTTTCTCCGGTTAGATATGTTTCATTGACCCCTGTGTGATTTATCCCTTACACATCGATCACGTAGACAAATACAATCTGACGCGCCGCTTGCACGCGCAGCCTACTCGTGGTGCGTACAGCTAATAGAGATGGTGATTCGTCTAGACAGTGGCGTAAATGAGCATTATGTGAGCAAGCGTTTAATCACCGAGCCACCGATCAAATGATGCTATTCGGGGCACACGTGCTCTGATCCGATCAATCAGAGAAATGCAGGACATGACTTTTCCATCAGGGCGGAATGCAATGTGTATCGAAGTGTTAGTCATTCAGCCACACAGATGACAGCATGAGCAGCATCATAGTCGATAACACATCATCAGCTGGACTTGCACTTACAGAGCAACAACTTTACACTCTACTATTGCAATCATACGTACAATTAAGAACATGGTTACAGTGGTTGGAGAGATGGTTACAAGTTTTCAAGTTACAACACATGACCATCTCACCATACACACCTATATCCATTATTTTCATCCTAAATTCCCGCGTGTGCGCACGCACGCACGCACGGGCACACACACACACACACACACACAGACACACACACACGCACGCACGCGTGCGCACGAACGCACGCGACCGCACACACGCGCGCGCACACAAACACACACACACACACGCACGCGCGCTGCGCATGTAATGTATAATAGTAGATAGCCTACAAAATAATTGATAAAACTTCCCACTGAAAAGCACTTGTGATCGCTCATGTGCCAGAGCAGATCATCATATATCTCTCAAGTTGTCAGAGCAGATCTTGGATGTTTGGATGTATTGAGGGTGCTATCCTGTCTAGCTATACAGCTGATATGAGCTTATATCATGAGCTTAAACACATATAACTAACAGGAAGCTATCTAAATTTATTTTTCTCGCGGTAATTTGGATATACAGGCACATCTAGGGTTATGCCCACCTTTTCCATTTATTGACGTAGCTATTTATGAGATTATTACGATTATTATTATTATTATGAAAATATTACTATGATTATTATTATGAAGATATTACAATAATTATTATTATGAGGTTATTACAATAATCATGATTAGGAGATTATTCTGACTTTAAGGAAGTCGATACTTAGTAGCCGAATCTTTTAGTTCGCTCGGCCGCCGTTCAACATGCGTCGCGCTAGTGGTAGCAGCAGCAGTTGTATCAAGAGGATAAATCGCAAGTTAGCGATCCAATTGGACAATTGTCTGTGGGTGAATCTACCGACAAGGCACGCACAATGAGAACGGGTGGGGAGATGAGGGCAGTGTGTTACAGAGGTAGCGTGCGCAGGGCAACCCGCTACAGGGCAATAATACTTGCGTCTAAGCAGGTATAGCTAATTAATACTGTGACATGATAAGCCAGCCTCGACAATGTGCCAATTAAGGTTGAATACATGGCCGGATTATTGCAACTTTAATTACTGCGTCCCCGAGTCCCTGAGCACAACATCCGCCCACCATATAGGCCATAACACGCACGCACGCACGCACGCACACACACGCACGCACGCACGCACGTGTGCGGACACACACACACACGCACTCGGTGTGAGTACCCGGCACTCTCACTCCCTCATTCTCTCATTCGCTTGCTCACTAACTCACTCACTCACCCATCCACGTACGCACTCACTCACTCACTCACTCACTCACTCACTCACTCACTCACTCACTCATTCACTCATTCACTCATTCACTCACTCACTCATTCACTCAGTCACTAACTCACTTACTCATTCACTCATTCACTCACTCACTCATTCACTCAGTCACTAACTCACTTACTCATTCACTCATTCACTCACTCATTCACTTATTCACTCGTTCACTCGTTCACTCGTTCACTCGTTCACTCATTCACTCAGTCACTCACTCACTCACTCACTCACTCACTCACTCACTCACTCACTCACTCACTCGCTCGCTCACTCACTCACTCACTCACGCACGCACGCACGCAAGCACGCACGCAGGCACGCACTCACACACGCACACCAACACCATTCCTCCATGCCAATCTACGCGGCTACCGTCACGAATAATCTCACTTCGAGGCGAAGCGTAATTACTTAGCCAGCCGCCTCCTAGCGGATTACCGTCATCCAGCAGCAAGTTTTTCAGCCTCTGCTTCCCGCGACGAGACAAATGGTCGCGATCAGGGGATCGGAAGGCGCTCACCTATCGTGCCAATGTTTCATTGTGCATCCCCCCGTGGCGCGCACGTGTCGCCCTGACTAGAGCCCCTTAATACAGAGGGACTATTAGCCCTGACTCTAGAGGGACTCTAGAGAGAGTCTAGGGGGAGAGAGATAGAGGGACCTTAGCCCTGACCAGCGTGTGACACCCTGGCGTCGTGCACTCCGAATTTCTACGCGTTTCCGTGTTTCTTCGCGAGCTGTGTACAAACGGCCAGCACGATACGTACATATTTATGACTTTCTCAGGATCACCTTTCGGTAGTTAAGAGTACCCATTGTGCTACTAAACCGGCATCATAAAAATATATTTTCAAGAATCCATATTACAAGATTCCATATTATATACCAGCTGTAACGCTTGCAGTTTGAAACGGCGAGTATATTTGCGCGGCGTGCACTAGTCGCATGCTCCCAGAGTCTAGAGAAGATTCTCTCGTTCGCGTTTATAGGCGATTCGGGAGCTCATAATAAAACATACCGACTTCGTTATCACAATGCGATGACCAAACGCTTCATCGGATTCGATTCAATACGCGCGCTAGTTGAACTGCTTGTAGCCGCTAGGCGCGAGCGAGCGGGCTAACCCCTATCCTCTTAACAACGAGAAGGACACGACTCGCAATGATACGCACTATCGCCGCACCGCCGCCTTAAACGCCCCTCGACTTCCATTGCACACGACGAGACCAATATCAGAGAGTGCCTCAAAATGTAAACAGACGAGGCGAAGCCCCGCGTATTTGCATGGCTCGGGGTACACGCGAGCATCTCTCTATGTGTGAGGCAGGGATAATCACGAAGATAGATGGCTTATACATCGCCTCAACACGCGCGGCGGCTAATTCCGCCGGTGGAGGGATATCGCTGGCACGCACTTAGAATTGAGCGTGCGCCACCGATTGTGTCGGCGGTCAGGCCGACTTACTGTGATCGTCATGGATACACACAGAGAACGCTCTCCTTACATGCAAGGCGATAGCGATCGAATCCCCATTGCGGCGAACGCCGAGGTTAAAGGTAGAATATATATGGCTATATCTAATCAGCAGTGTTGACGAAGGCTAGAATAACTGACACATTATATCATTTAGAAGTGTATGTAAAGTTCCTGTGCCAAATTCACGTTAGTTTGTCCAATTTCACCGCACGCCACCTTACAAACAAGACTTCTGAAGGATGCGTAACCACAACACAACTAAGAATTCGGTACAAGTTTACATGCCGTATAACGTGACAATAATAGAAGAGTATATGTATAAAGTATAATAGTATAAAGTATAACGTATAGAGTATAAAGAAATATGTCCTGTATGTTTTAACGCGAGTGAGAAGCCGAGCATGCGCATGGCTCAGCGTGCGTGCGAAAATACGTTGTACTGAAATGTCTGTTACACCCGCTTCGGTAGTTCCGATTCTAATTTAATTTCCGATTTTCCGAATTTCCGAAATTCCGAATTTCCGATTCGAATTATTTTTTTTCGATTCGAATTGTCAACAACTGTTGACTAACGCAGATGACTTTTAATTTAGCTTTTATTAGTAACCCAGCAGTGAAATTTGACGAACCAATAGAGGTTTATCAGAGAGGTCACATAATTATGTATTACGTATAAATAGACGCGCTCTATATAACGCGTAACATTCCGTTGCCGCCGGGTTAGTTCCAGTGTCGCAAATTTCGTCCCCATGCAAGAGTAACAAACACACGCACACAAACACACACTGCTGCAGCGCTAG